CCCTTTTAGTGAGCATTTCCCCTTTTGCCAAATATCCATCCGGTGACGGGTGTGGCTATCAAGAAGCTGATTAAACAGCATGAAAAAAAGGCGCTCTAAAATGTGGAGTTTTGTCACACAACACAATGCCATAGAAGTCTGAAGTTTTGAGGGAGCATACAACCGCAGACCACGTGTAATCACGCTGGCCCAGGACCTCCACATCGGGCTTCTTCACATGCGGGATCGTCTGAGACCAGCCACCCGGCCAGCTGAGGAGTATTTCTGTCTGTAATAAAGCACTTTTGTAGGTTAAAACTCATTGTGATTGGCTGGGCCTGGCTCCCCAGTGGGTGGGCCTATGCCCAGTGGGTGGGCCTGGCTCCCCAGTGGGTGGGCCTATGCCCAGTCATGTGAAATCCATAGTTAGGGCCTCATTTATTTATTTCAATTGACTGATTTCCTTATATGAACTGTAACTCAGTAAAATCCTTGAAATTGTTGCATGTTGCGTTTATATTTTTGTTCAGTATATACAGTTTCACTGTTTTTTAAAGGCGATTTCTAATCTTTTGAATTAACAGTTCACCCCCGAAGATTTTTATACCTATTCAACATTTGGAACCACTATAACCAGCATGTTGTTGAAATGTGTATGTTAAAAAATAAGTTTAGGATTAGGTTTCAACGCAGATTTTAAGAAGAAAGAAATTGTAGAAATAGGTGGGGGGGGTTATGACTTTGTGGCTGTGGTAACTAGTGTCAACTGTTCCACGAAAAGAGTGGCGCGACCCGTCGGTATAAGAGGACCGGTCAGAGCACTTATGTAGCGTGTATGTAGCTAGCCAGCTACATAGCTAGCCAGCTACATACACGCATAAACTGAACTAAGCGCTTGAAGAAAACCAAGAGACCTTTATTTTGAAAAGATGTCCAACATAGACCCGGAAGAAGAGATGTTTTTGAAATTCATGTTATGAGAACACGAATCCTGCAAACTGCTGCAAGCACTAATGTCAACGTTGGCCAAGACAATGTCTAGTAAGTACAATATAGCTGGCTTTTACTGTTGACAACATTGGCTTTATTGTCGAGGCTAGCGATGTCGAGAGCTCCAGCTCAAATGGGCCATTTGCTCTATTGTTGACAGCTGAAAATAGCCAAGGAACGTTATTTCTTTTCAATGCATGTAAAGTTGTAGCAGTTGAATTCGATGCACACCTGTGCAGTCTTCACTTATATTTTTGACCTTTTAGCAGATGGTCTTATCCAGAGCGACTACAGGAGCAATTGGGGTTAAGTGCCTTGCTCAAGTGCAAGGACAAATTTTTGTTTGTTTACCTAGTCCGCTCGGGGATTCGAACCAGCGAACTTTTGGTTACTGTCCCAATGGGCTTAACCTCTCGGCTACCTGCCCCCCTTCATAGGCTTTACAGTAAAATACTCCCACCCTGACCCCCTGTTGATCATTGTAGTGTCTGGTCATTGACCTTGAGCAGAACTGAGCAGATGATGTAATAGGCATAGCCAGCATTTTGATCTGCATATCGTGGCAGAGTTTTAGACACTGGTGTCTGAATGATGACTATTCTGTTTCTGCCCCCAAAAGTTCCGTCTGGCAGTGGTCCAGCTACACGTGACCAAGGTCAAAGCTGACAACCTCTCTAGAGCCCGGGGGCTGATCAGCGAAGCAGCTGGACATGGGGCCAAAGTGGTGGTCTTACCTGTGAGTACACCACCCCCTTTACTCTTCTGAAATGTTTAGTGATGACGATGGGCCTGGTTCCTCTCTAGATCTGAAATGTTTAGTGATGACGATGGGCCTGGTTCCTCTCTAGATCTGAAATGTTTAGTGATGACGATGGGCCTGTTCCTCTCTAGATCTGAAGCTTTAGGTTGTGCGATGAAGCCCTTTTTCACTCTTGATCTGAAATATGTTATGATCCATCAGGGCTGATTCCTTTTTTTCCCGGAATTAATATTGACTTGTTTTATTGTTGACTGACTTCTCTTTGTGATCATTAGAAAGGTTACTGTGCCAGTTTTCCATGGTTACTGTGCCAGTTGTTTCCCATAATACCATCCAAACATGATTATATTTACATGTATGTTGTACATGTTTCCATGTACAGGAGTGCTTCAACTCCCCCTATGGGACTGGCTTCTTCCCTGGAGTATGCAGAGAAGATCCCTGGAGAATCCAGCCGGATTCTGTCAGAGGTAGCCAAGGAGAGCCAGGTGTATCTGGTGGGGAGGTGAGCGGAACTCTGGACAACTATGGGACTGTCCCCATAGCTGGACAACTGTTTGGGACTGTCCCCATAGCTGGACAAACTGTTGGGACTGTCCCCATAGCTGGACAACTGTTGGGACTGTCCCCATAGCTGGGACAACTGTTGGGACTGTCCCCATAGCTGGACAACTATTGGGACTTTCCCCATAGCTGGACAACTGTTGGGACTGTCCCCCATAGCTGGACAACTATTGGACTGTCCCCATAGCTGGACAACTATTGGGACTTTTCCCCATAGCTGGACAACTGTTGGGACTGTCCCCCATAGCTGGACAACTGTTGGGACTGTCCCCATAGCTGGACAACTGTTGGGACTGTCCCCATAGCTGGACAAACTATTGGGACTTTCCCATAGCTGGACAACTGTTGGGACTGGTCCCCATAGCCTCTTTAGTCGGCTCTGATTAGATGACGTGTTCATGTGGCTTGGAGATGTGTTTAATATATGAAGCTGTGTGTACTATGAGAGGTGTGTTATTATGAGAGGTGTGTTATTATGAGCGGTTGTGTTAATATGAGAGGTGTGGTTAATATGAGAGGTGTGTTTACTATGAGGGTCGTGTTAATATGAGAGGTTGTGTTAATATGAGAGGTGTGTTAATATGAGCTGTGTGTTAATATTGAGAGGTGTGTTAATATGAGAGGTTGTGTTAATATGAGAGGTGTGTTAATATGAGAGGTGTGTTAATATGAGGTGTGTTAATATGAGAGGTGTGTTAATATGAGAGGTGTGTTAATATGAGAGGTGTGTTAAACAGTGGGCTGTGATGTGTTAATGAGAGGTGTGTTAATATGAGAGGTGTGTTAATATGAGAGGTGTGTTAATATGAGCTGTATGTTCATATGAGAGGTGTGTTCATATGAGAGGTGTGTTAATATGAGCTGGTATGTTCATATGAGAGGTGTGTTCATATGAGAGGTGTGTTCATATGAGAGGTGTGTTAATATGAGAGGTGTGTTAATATGAGAGGTGTGTTAATATGAGAGGTTGTGTTAATATGAGCTGTGTGTTAATATGAGAGGTGTGTTAATATGAGAGGTGTGTTTAATATGAGAGGTGTGTTAATATGAGAGGTGTGTTAATATGAGAGGTGTGTTAAACAGTGGGCTGTGATGTGTTGGTGTATTCAGGCTCCATCCCTGAGGAGGATGATGGAGGGAAGCTGTATAACACGTGTCCAGTGTTTGGACCTGACGGCAGCCTGGTGCTCAAACACAGGAAGGTGGGAACAGGAACAGGAGCAAGGGACACATGCATTACACATACATACAGTATGACTCCAACTTTATGAGGGGAGAAATGCTTTGACAGGACACTGGCTGTATTTGAGTACATTCTCTGTCTTTATGTTTACCATGATTCCTCTTGAAGATCCACCTATTTGACATCGACGTTCCAGGGAAGATCCGTTTCCAGGAGTCGGAGACACTGAGCCCAGGGAGCAACCTGTCAGTGTTCGACACACGTGAGTCTCTGAGTCTGCTTCCCAAATGGCACCCTATTCCCTATATAGTGCACTACTTTAGACCAGAGAATGGCACCCTATTCCCTATATAGTGCACTACTTTAGACCAGAGAATGGCACCCTATTCCCTATATAGTGCACTACTTTAGACCAGAGAATGGCACCCTATTCCCTATGTAGTGCACTACTTTAGACCAGAGAATGGCACCCTATTCCCTATATAGTGCACTACTTTAGACCAGAGAATGGCACCCTATTCCCTATATAGTGCACTACTTTAGACCAGAGAATGGCACCCTATTCCCTACGTTAGGTGGTTGGTAGCTGCTGTACTTAATTACGGCTACTGATTGCAGTCTGCCAGTTTGGCTTTATACATAGCTTGGGCTTTGTCGAGTAAGGCTTAAACTATGTATTTAGATTGTAGTTAGGTACTATAGGTAGGCATCGTGGGCTGTATATTATTAAGTAGTATAGGTAGGCATCGTGGGCTGTTGTGGGTAGCTGTTGTGTAGTTATTGTAGGTTACTTTTGTATTCGGCGGTGCCGGGTGTAGCACGAAGCTAGCTAGCTAACTCACCTCCTGGATTAGCTAGCGAGTAGCTATTAGCAACGGTAGCAACTAAAAACAATATCCTTTTAGCCAGCTACATTCGTTCGCAGCGACGCCGTTTTTCAAACAAAGTCAACACAGCAGCCATTGCTAGCTAGCCAACACTACCAGCTGGCTGTACTGTAGTAGCTAAATACAATATCTTTGTGCTAGCTACCCAACGTTTAATCATTGCTGCGTTATGAAAGGTAAGCTTGGCTTCTTATATGGTGTTGAGTTAAGCTTAAACCATGTATTTAGATTGTAGGTAGGTATTGTAGTTTGGTATTATAGGTAGCTTACTCAGGTAGTTATTGTAGGTTATTGTAGGTAATTATTGTAGGTAAGGACTGTATTCGGCGGACCCCGGCGAAGCACGAGGCTAGCCTACCCACTACTTGGACCAACAAAGCTAGCTAGCGGGTAGCTACTGGTAACTTTTAGCAACTGTGGTTAGTTGTTTCCAATGTTATTTCATGCTTAAGAGTACCTGTGATTGAGCCAGCTAGCTGCTACCATTCAGCTGTTTTTCTAACCTCATTATCCGAGGCATTAACGTTAGGTGGTTGGTAGCTGCTGTACTTAATTACAGCTACTGATAACAGTCTGCTGTAGTTTACAACAATTCTAATTTCTAAAGTGGAAGTTGGGAGAGTTTTATTCGGGTGGTTCAGTGAAACAATTATAGTTTCTGAGGTGGAAGTTGGGAGAGTTATATTATTATTTTTTTGGTGAGGGAGGCCTGCTCTCTCCTTTCCCAGATGTTTAGTTCATTTCATTCCGATCTCCTCTGCATTATTGTAGCCATCTGCTGCAGCCTGTCAACTATGCCTCTGCCTATCCCTGTTCTCTCCTCTCCGCACAGGCTACACAAACGCCTCACACCGCGTGGCTGCTGCCTCTCTAACCTGGTGGTCCCTGCACGCACCACACACCTGGAGTTCCAGGTCTCAGGCAGTCTCTGGAACTGCCGTTCTGCTGCCAACAAGGCTGACTTCATCCCAGCCTATGCTACCCTCCAGTCCCTCGACTTCCTGGCGCTGACGGAAACATGGATTACCACTGAAAACACTGCTACTCCTACTGCTCTCTCCTCGTCTGACCATGTGTTCTCGCATACCCCGAGAGCATCTGGTCAGAGGGGGTGGTGGCACAGGAATCCTCATCTCTCCCAAGTGGTCATTCTCGATTTTTCCCCTAACCCATCTGTCTATCTCCTCATTTGAATTCCACGCTGTCACAGTCACTAGCCCATTTAAGCTTAATATCCTTGTCATCTATCGCCCTCCAGGTTCCCTTGGAGAGTTCATCAATGAGCTTGACGCCTTGATAAGTTCCTTTCCTGAGGATGGCTCACCCTTCACAGTTTTGGGGGATTTCAACCTCCCTACGTCTACATTTGACTCATTTCTCTCTGCCTCCTTCTTTCCACTCCTCTCCTCTTTCGACCTCACCCTCTCACCATCCCCCCCCACTCACAAGGCAGGCAATACGCTTGACTTCATCTTTACTAGATGTTGCTCTTCTACTAATCTCACTGCAACTCCCCTCCATGTCTCCGACCACTACTTTGTATCCTTTTCTCTCTCGCTCTCCTCCAACATTACTCACTCTGCCCCTACACAGATGGTAACGCGCCGCCGCAACCTTCGCTCTCTCTCTCCCACTACTCTCTCCTCTTCCATCCTATCATCTCTTCCCTCTGCTCAATCCTTCTCCCTCCAATCTCCTGATTCTGCCTCCTCAACCCTCCTCTCCTCCCTTTCTGCATCCTTTGACTCTCTGTGTCCCCTATCCTCCCGGCCGGCTCGGTCCTCCCCTCCAGCTCCGTGGCTTGATGACTCATTGCGAGCTCACAGAACAGAGCTCCGGGCAGCGGAGCGGAAATGGAAGAAAACTAAACTCCCTGCCGACCTGGCATCTTTTCACTCCCTCCTCTCTACATTTTCTTCATCTGTTTCTGCTGCTAAGGCCACTTTCTACCACTCTAAATTCCAAGCATCTGCCTCTAACCCTAGGAAGCTCTTTGCCACATTCTCCTCCCTGCTGAATCCCCCCCCCCCCCTCCCTCTCTGTGGATGACTTTGTCAACCACTTTGTCAACCTATGCTTTGACTTCTTTCTCCCCTCTCTCTCCAGATAAAATCTTGCGACTAGTGACTGCAGGCCGCCCAACAACCTGCCCGCTTGACCCCATCCCCTCCTCTCTTCTCCAGACCATCTCCGGTGACCTTCTCCCCTACCTCACCTCGCTGATCAACTCATCCTTGACCGCTGGCCATGTCCCTTCCGTCTTCAAGAGAGCGAGAGTTGCACCCCTTCTCAAAAAACCAACACTCGATCCCACTGATGTCAACAACTACAGACCAGTATCCCTTCTTTCTTTTCTTTCCAAAACTATTGAGCGTGCCGTCTTTAGCCAACTCTCTTGCTATCTCTCTCAGAATAACCTTCTTGATCCAAATCAGTCAGGTTTCAGGACTGGTCATTCAACTGAGACTGCTCTTCTCTGTGTCACGGAGGCTCTCCGCACTGCTAAAGCTAACTCTCTCTCCTCTGCTCTTGTCCTTCTAGACCTGTCTGCTGCCTTTGATACAGTGAACCATCAGATCCTCCTCTCCACCCTCTCCGAGCTGGGCATCTCCGGCGCGGCTCACTCCTGGATTGCGTCCTACCTGACCGGTCGCTCCTACCAAGTGGCGTGGCGAGAAGCTGTCTCCGCACCACGTGCTCTCACCACTGGTGTCCCCCAGGGCTCAGTTCTAGGCCCTCTCCTTTTCTCCCTATACACCAAGTCACTTGGCTCTGTCATATCCTCACATGGCCTCTCCTATCATTGCTACGCTGACGATACACAACTAATCTTCTCCTTTCCCCCTTCTGATAACCAGGTGGCGAATCGCATCTCTGCATGTCTGGCCGACATATCAGTATGGATGACGGATCACCACCTCAAGCTGAACCCTGGCAAGACGGAGCTGCTCTTCCTCCCGGGGAAGGACTGCCCGTTCCATGATCTCGCCATCACGGTTGACAACTCCGTTGTGTCCTCCTCCCAGAGTGCGAAGAGCCTTGGCGTGACCCTGGACAACACCCTGTCGTTCTCCGCTAACATCAAGGCGGTGACCCGATCCTGCAGGTTCATGCTCTACAACATTCGGAGAGTACGACCCTGCCTTACACAGGAAGCGGCACAGGTCCTAATCCAGGCACTTGTCATCTCCCGTCTGGATTACTGCAACTCGCTGTTGGCTGGCCTCCCTGCCTGTGCCATTAAACCCCTACAACTCATCCAGAATGCCGCAGCCCGTCTGGTGTTCAACCTTCCCAAGTTCTCTCACGTCACCCCCCTCCTCCGCACACTCCACTGGCTTCCAGTTGAAGCTCGCATCCGTTACAAGACCATGGTGCTTGCCTATGGAGCAGTGAGGGGAACGGCACCTCCGTACCTTCAGGCTCTGATCAGTCCCTACACCCAAACGAGGGCATTGCGTTCATCCACCTCTGGCCTGCTGGCTCCCCTTCCTCTGCGGAAGCATAGTTCCCGCTCAGCCCAGTCAAAACTGTTCGCTGCTCTGGCACCCCAATGGTGGAACAAGCTCCCTCACGACGCCAGGACAGCGGAGTCACTCACCACCTTCCGGAGACATTTGAAACCCCACCTCTTTAAGGAACACCTGGGATAGGATAAAGTAATCCTTCTACCCCCCCCCCCCCCCCCCCCAAAAAAAAATAAAATAATTTAAAAGTATAATTGTAAAGTGGTTATCCCACTGGCTATAGGGTGAATGCACCAATTTGTAGTCGCTCTGGATAAGAGCGTCTGCTAAATGACGTAAATGTGCCCTTGAGCAAGGCACTTAACCCTAATTGCTCCTGTAAGTCGCTCTGGATAAGAGCGTCTGCTAAATGACTAAAATGTAAATATATAGTGCACTACTTTAGACCAGAGAATGGCACCCTATTCCCTATGTAGTGCACTACTTTAGACCAGAGAATGGCACCCTATTCCCTATGTAGTGCACTACTTTAGACCAGAGAATGGCACCCTATTCCCTACGTAGTGCACTACTTTAGACCAGAGAATGGCACCCTATTCCCTATATAGTGCACTACTTTAGACCAGAGAATGGCACCCTATTCCCTACCTAGTCAAATCAAATCACATTTCATTTGTCACGTGCGCCGAATACAACAGGTGTAGATCTTACAGAGAAATGCTTACTGACAAGCCCTTAACCAACAATGCAGTTTTAAGAAAATAGAGTTAAGAGAATATGTACAAAATAAACGAAAGTTAAAAAAGTAACACAATAAAATAACAATAACGAGGCTATATACAGGGGGTACCGGTACTGA